CCCACAACAGAGCCTGGCTCACCCCCACCCCACTGGCCCAGCCCCCACCTTGCTGCAGCGGGCGCAGCGAGGCGCAAACTTGTTCTCATAGCAGGGCACGCAGTAGTGAGCACCCTTGTCGGGCACAAAGGAACGGGAGCCCAGCGGCTGCTCACAGCCACTGCACAGGAAGCAGTGCTCGTGCCACGTCTGGCCTCCATATTCCAGCTTCCGGGACCCTGTGGGGAACAGGGGTCCCACTCAGAGGCTGTGTCCTAAGCTCCTGAGTGCCACCCTCTGCTACCCTCCCGAGGAGGGTCCCCGCTGTTCCCACAGCCTAAGCAGGGTGGCATCCATGCACATGCAGCAGGACCCTGGCCCCATATACGGCACATGCTACCCTCCCCCGAACACTGCACACGCTCGCTGGGCACATGCTAGGCTCCCAGAAACTAGACACGAGGAGTTGGCATAAGCGAAGTCCCCATGTGTACCAGATATGACTGTCTCAGCATACGCCAGGCCTCCGTGTCACAGGCACGATGACTCGGTACACGCTAAGCCCTTATATGCCAGACATGATGGTTTGAGCACACCACAACGATCCTACATATACTAGCCAAGCAAGTCTTTGCCCACACAGAATTCTAATGCCCCGGACGTGATTGATCCAGTACACGCTAAGCCTTGACATGTCCTAACAATGTCATTCTCCACACGTCCTCAAGCCTCACGTAACTATGAGGCATGCGGGTCACCACACACGTGAAGCCCTCTGCTTATCTGCTTCTGCACACACCAAGCCCCAATGCACCAAGCACGATGGTCTCCTTGCACTTCTCGCTTCTGCATGTACCACACGTGCAGGCGCTCATACGTGCTAAGCACCCCGGCGTGTACCAAGCCTGTCCGTCTGCCCATACACGGTCAACTCACAGGCGCGTAGCAGGCCTGCTGGTGCGGCACATGCCAAACCCCCAGGAATGTACCAAGCTTGTCCGTTCTTGTACATGCTCCGCTTTCGTGTGTACAGCTGGGTGTGCCAGTCCCCGTGCATGCTAATCTCCCGGGAGCACACAGGCACGACCCATCCTGTATACGCTGAATTTCCAGAAAGATGCTGTGTGTGCAGGTGTTAAGCATAGTCAGCCTCCACATACGCACCATACATGCGCCAGTCCCTTGTGTGTGCAAGAACCCTACCCAGATGCAGGCACCCGGTCCCACACACGGCGAGCCCCCCCCCGGGGGACGTACCAGGCATGACGGGCTCCCCGCAGGCGGAGCACTGCGATGAGAAGGCGCTGCAGTAGCAGTCATTGCAGAGCAGCTCCCCGTCCTGGCAAGTGAAGGGCTCATCGGCCAGTGAGCGCTGGCAGCGGCAGCAGCGGAAGCAGCCCTCGTGGAAGTGGCGGTCTTCGTAGAACAGCTCCTGCGGGGCGTGTGGCAAGGGACACTGGCACCTTTGCCCCCTCCGCCAGCCTCCGCCCACTCCTTGCCCTGTCAGGTCCAGTCCTTACCCTTGAGTCATGCCCGATAAGCTGCTGGCACTCAGCACACGTGTTAGCGAAGGTATTGTCATAGCAGGGCACGCAGTAGGGGCCGTCGTCCGTCTGGATGTATTTGCGGCCATACAGGGACTCGCTGCATTTCGCACAGTCAAAGGACTCGCTCATGGTGGCTATGAGTGCGCCCTGCCAGGGGCAAAAGGTGGGGCGCGGGTCACCCAGAGGGGCTGTGACTCAGCCCCTTGTAAAAGCCTTTTGCAAGAGACCAGGCATAAGAAATGCCAGGTCAGAACAGGTGGTGATGAGGAAGGGCTGCTTCTGGAAACCGAGGAGTCTGGCACATTTGTTCTCTTTCTTTTTTGTTTTTAACGTTTATTTTTTTGAGGGAGAGAAAGCGTGCAGGTGTGCACGCGCGCGCGCATGAGCAGGGGAGGGGCACAGAGAGGGAGACACAAAATCCAAAGCAGGCTCCAGGCTGAACTGTCAGCACAGAACCCGACATGGGGCTCGAACCCATGAACTGCGAGATCATGACCTGAGTCAAAGTCTGATGCTCAACCAACTGAGCCACCCAGGCGTCCCTCTTTTTTTTTTTTTTTTAACCAATTAATTAATTATTTGAGAAAGAGAGAGAAGGAGAGAGAGAGCACGCACAGGAGCGGGGGTGGGGGGAGAAGGGCAGAGGGATATAGATAATCTCAAGCAGGTTCCACACTCAGCGAGGAGCCAGATGCGGGGCTCGATCCCATGATCCCGTGATCAGGGATCAAAATAAAGAATAGGACACTCAACTACCCAGGCACCCCCTGCATGTTTATTTCTGCATTTAATGGGGGTTCGGGGCGGGGAGAGGAGGGAGAGAAGGGGTCAGGAAAAAAAATCAGGAAGCAGAAGTTGTTTTCTTATCTGGGCCCTGGCAGATCTGGGGGGAGGGGGCTTTTCCTGGGTCAGTGACTCATTTCCTGCCCCAGCCTGAGTGTAGCTTCCACTGTTCCTACTGTCCCTGAGGGGACAACAGCAGGGGCAGGGAGCCACCCCACTCTATATCCCATATAAACAGCACCCCCACCCTCTCTTGACTCCCAGGAAGGAGCCCTAGCGACATGGAAAAAGGAACCTCTAGCCAGAGCTCCAGAGTGAGGAGCATAGGGACATGAATGGGGTGTGTAGAAGGATGTTGGGTCGCGAATGGCGGAGGTGGAAGTCACCTCGGGCCTCCCTCCTGCAGAATCAGCCCAAGCAAGGACTTGAGAGGCTCAGCCTAGGTTTAAGCAGGAAGGAAGTCCTGCAAGCTGGACACAGCCAAGCTTCCCCAGCTGGACCCTCTGCCCTCACCCCCGCTCCGGTCCCTGCGGGGTCTCTGGTCACACCAGCCTGGGCAGCCTTGGCCTGCAACATATGCAGCAGCTGTGGCAGCGCAGATGGCCAGATGTCAGGTTTGACCAACAACAGGGGAGAGAAGAAGGAATGGAGATGCCAGGGGAGGGAGAGGTAAACTGAAGATGGAGGTTATGCAGCGTGCCCCCTGCCATCTCCGAGGGGGCATCTGCTCCTGGCAGTTCTTTCCATCCCCTGGGGTCATTACTTCCCACCCCCTGCCTCTGGGAGAAACAGCCTCTCCCCAGCTTTTCTGGTTTCTAAGGGTTTGGGGCAGGGGGAGTGGAGGGTGAGAGTGGGAGCCACAGGAGACACTTTCTCCCCAATCAGGCCCCCTCTTGGGTGGGGAGTCAGGCAGGGGGGAGCCCTGAGAGCTGCTGCTGCAGACACCCAGCCCCCACCAAACCTCAGACACTTTCCATTTTCTCAGGAACAAAGCATGTTTGTGGGATGAGGTCATACACACAGCTGCCTCTGGAACAGGAGCATGGGGAGTGTGGGGGGGGG